TAGCGGCGCCGGTGGCTGAAGCACCGCCTCTTCGACCTCTTCCCTTGGGGTCGGTAGCGGAGGCATCCGGGCTCTCCAGGTGATATCGTCCTGGAAGTAGCCGTGCACCCTCTGATAGACCGTAGCTTCCTGCCGTGCTTCCTGTAGCCAGCAGTAAACGCCATCCCATAGCCACGGCTGGTATGGGATACCTAGCTCTCTTGCTAGCTGCTTGGCAACGTCCTCTGCGTCGTCCAGGTCCACCACCGCTAGCTCCAAGACCCCAAACCCCTGGCTGGTGAGATGCCGGTAGGCCCTGTCTAGCGTGCGCCTACGTTCCTGCTGGACCGTAGCCTGCGCCTCTAGCTCTGCCTCCATCTCCCAACCCTCGAAGAGAAGCCCCGTCTCCTCGGGCTGCGGGTCACTAGCTGGGGTCTGCGGGACCCACGAGGGTACCTCCCCGGAGGGAGCCCCCGCGGTGTCGTCCCCCCCTAGCGTGGGTACCTCGGTAGGACACGACCCACTTAGCGGGGGCGGGGAATCCCCAACCACTGTAGCGCAGTCGACGGCTGTAGCTGCTGCGCCATCTGGCGTGGTCGGCGCCAGGGTAGCGTCGCTGTCCGACATGGCAGCGCACCCAAAGCAGGGCTAATTAGCCCTGTTCCCTTTCCTACCGCACTCGAAATTTGCCCCCCAATAGCTGGGGGCCTTTCAGCACAATGGCCACGGAGTAGCACTGCTTCACCGGCCATGTGCAGACACTCTAGCAAACAGACAGGCTTCGTTCTGTTTAGCTTCAGAGGAAAACCCCTTCGACGTTTTCTAGCGAAACACCTTCGATGTTTCCCAAAGGGATACTGGCGCTAGCATACACTGTCGTACCTCGTCCCTCGGCACGAGTGCGACCAGCGCGTCGCCACGGCTCTATTGGCCTACGTGCAGCAAGCGGCCCTCAACGCCGCACTGGCACTCAGAGACGGCCGGCTGGACGGCCACGACGCCGACATCTTGGCGCTGCAGAGCGCAGGACCCTTCGCCCTGCCCAGCGAGATCACGGCTCTGCAGGCATCCATCGACAGCATCCTGGCGGAGATCGCCACGCTCGGCGGCGCCACTAATCTGGTCAATGCTCCGGCCTGGCCCGGCGAGATTACCTGGGACCTGCTGGCCGGCACCAATCAGATCCGCAACTTGCACGCCGCGGGTCCCCTGAGCATCCAGCTCGCGAACGACAACTGGACCCTGTCCTTCTCCGTGGACAGCTACAGCATCGCCGAAACCGACGGAGCCGTCCTACGGCCCTGAGCCCCATCGATCTTTCGTTTTTGGCCCGAGGCTGTAGGCTCAACGCCCTTTCGATTTTGAATCAGCTTCCTTCTAGCTGATCGACTGTGGGCCCAACACCCTGCTACACAAGAGAGAGGCCGCAGCTTTTTCGCGGTTTGTGGGCTGTGCGCGTTAGTTGTCAACCCAACCCGCGTCGCGTTAGTTGTCAACCTAGTTGTCAACCTAGTTGTCAACCTAGTTGTCAACCTAGTTGTCAACCTAGTTGTCAACCTAGTTGTCAACCTAGTTGTCAACCTAGGTGTCAACCTAGTTGTCAACCTAGTTGTCAACCTAGTTGTCAACCCCATTGTCAACCCAACCCGCGCCGCGGAATTGTCAACCCAATTGTCAACCCGATTGTCAACCCAACCCGCGCCGCGGAATTGTCAACCCAATTGTCAACCCGATTGTCAACCCGATTGTCAACCCAACCCGCGCCGCGGAATTGTCCACCCAATTGTCAACCGATTGTCAACCCGATTGTCAACCCAACCCGCGCGGAATTGTCAACCCGATTGTCAACCCAACCCGCGCCTCGTCGTCGCCGCGTCGTCCTTCAGAACAACACGAACTGAAAAATGCCTCGATCCCAGGGTGCACCCACGTTCAAGCGTCGAAACAGCCGGCTTCGGCCCTCTAGAAAACTCACACCATGTCCAGTTGGGCACAGCAGCAAGAAGCCATCCGCCGAGCGGCCCAGGGCGGCGTCAGAGCGAGGACGAACGCCCAGGGCTCGCAGCGGCTCCAGGTTCTGCTGTTTCGCCCCAACAGCAAGCTCACCAGGGCCGGGCAGTTCTACGGCCTCGTGGGGGGCCGCCCCCCTCGAGGCATCGACGAGGAGCAGCCCCTCATCTGCGAGGGACCCACAGACTACGAGAAGTACACGGGCTGGCCCACGTCCCGTCCGCATCACTGGCGGCGCTGCAGCGACCGTATTGCGGTTTCGGGGCAGTGCGAGTCACGGTCAATCTGGATGTCAACCCAGATGTCAACCCAGATGTCAACCCAGGTGTCAACCCGATTGTCAACCCGACCCGCGCCGCGAAATTGTCAACCCAATTGTCAACCCGATTGTCAACCCGATTGTCAACCCAACCCGCGCCGCGGAATTGTCAACTCGATTGTCAACCCAACTCGCGCCGCGTCGTCGTCGCCGTCGTCGTGGTCGTCGTCGTCGCCGTTCGCCGCTCGTCGCTGTTCGCTGCTCGCCGCTCGTCGCCGTTCGCCGCTCGCCGCTCGTCGCCGTTCGCCGCTCGTCGCCGTTCGCCGCTCGTCGCCGTCGGCATCGTCGCTGTGTCGTCGTCGCGTCGCCGTGTCGTGGGTGCGGCTCGGTGGTGGCAACATCTCGGTGGCAGTTTCGGCCTGCCGAGTGTTCTGCCAAGTGTTCTGCCTCAGTGTTCTGCCGAGTGTTCTGCCCAAATGTTCAAATGCTCTGCCGTGTGATCTGCAGCGCTGGTCGTTGCGTCGTCGCCTCGTCGTCCTCTATCCTCATCCATCCTCTCGGGTCAGGACAGCGAGGCCCTTGAGGCTGCAGCGATTGTGAGGGCCTCGGGCGCTGCAGCGACGGTGAGGGGCAGCTGGAGGCCTGGCTGCGGCGACTTTGCGGGGCACCTGACGTTCAGCCACTGTCAGACCGTGGGAGCTGCAACGATTGTGAGGCTGCAGCGACTGTGAGGGGCCTGGGGGGCTGCATCGACTGGGGCACCTGGAGCAGCAGCGATTGTAAGGGGCACCCGACTGAGGCATGGGCCGCTGCGACTGTGGGCGCCTGGGGGGCTGCAACGACTGTGCAGCGACTGTGAGGGCTCGGGGGGCTGCAGCGACTGTGAGCAGCTGGGGGCTGCAGCCACATCGGTAGCCACATCGGTGGCCACAAACGGTAGCCACAAAGGGTAGCCACACACGGTAGCCACGAACGGCAGCCACAAAAAACTATCCACGTCGTCGTCGCTGCGTTGTCGTCGGGTGAGGACCGCTATCCTCACTCGTCGCTGCGTCGTCGTCATCCCTCTCCGCCTCGATCCTCACCGCCCAGTCGTCACTACTTCGTTGCCGTCCCTCCCCGCCTCTATCCTCACCGCTGTCCTCACCCATCCTCTTGGATCAGGAGGGACGAGGAACAGCCTGCAGCTAGTGTGACGGCGTGGTGGGGGCTGCAGCGACTGCTTGGGCTGCAGTGCGGGATTGGGGGGCTGCAACGACCGTGACGGCCTGGGGTCTGGAGGCTGCAGCGACCGTGAGGGCATCTGGGGCTGCGGCGCGTCGTCGCCGCCTCGTCGTCGTCGCGTCGTCACCGCCGCGTCGTCGTTGCCGCGTCGTCGTCCCTCCCCCCTCAGTCGGTGAACCCACCACCAGCTGCGAACACGTCGCGTCGTCGTCGTGCAAACGTGTTCGTCGCCTCCTGCCCCGGTGAACCCGGTGAGCCCGCAGGTTCACCGGTTCACCTGCGCCGGTTTGCCTTCGTCGCCACGTCGTCCAGTCGGTGAACCCACGGCTGCGAACACGTCGCGTCGTCGTCGTCGCGTCGTCGTAGTCGCCGCGTCGCCCCCCCTCAGTCGGTGAATCAGAACCCACCACCAACTGCGAACACGTGCGTCGTCGTCGTGCACGCGTGTTCGTCGCCCCCTTCCCCGGTGAACCCGGTGAACCCGCAGGTTCACCGATTCACTTGGGCCGGTTTGCCTTCGTCGCCACGTCGCCCGGTCGGTGAACCCAAGGCTGCGAACACGTCGCGTCGTCGTCGCGTCGGCGTCGCCTCGCCGTCCTCTATAGCGTCGTCGTCGCCTCGTCGTGTCATCGCCCCCCGCCTCTATCCTGACCGGTATCCTCACTGCTATCCTCACCGCCCGGCTTACACCAGCAGCGCCCGTCGTCGTGCGCTCGTCGTCATCCCTCCATATATCCTCACCCACCTCTTGGGTCTTCAGGAGCAGTGAGGCCCGTGAGGTTGTGAGGGCCTGGGGCGCTGCAGCGACTGTGAGGGGCACCTGGGGACCTGCAGCGACTGTGAGGGTGCCTGAAGGGCTGCAGCGACTGTGAGGGCACCTCTGGAGGGGCTGCAGCGACATGCACCGACTGCCTGGGGCTGCGGTGACTGTGCCTCGTCGTCGGGTCGTCGTCGCGTCGTTCCCGCGCACTCGCCACCTTCGAACACGTCGCATCGTCGTCGTCGCGTCGACGTCGTCGGTGGCGATATTTCGGTGGCGATATTTCGGTGGCGATATTTCGGTGGCGACATTTGGGGTCGTTGCCGCGTCGTCGTCGCTGTCGCCGCGTCGCCGTCGCTCCCGCGTCGCCCCGCTCCTCATGCTCAGCGCCCGTCCTGGATCAAGAGTGAGGGCGCCGGGGGGGCTGCAGCGACTGTGAGGGCTGCGGCGACTGTGAGGGCATCCGTCGTCGTCGCGTCGTCGTCGTCGTCGTCGTCGGTGGCGACATTTGGGTGGCGAATGGTGGCGACATTTCGCTGGCGACATTTCGGTGGCGACATTTGGGTGGCGATATTTCGGTGGTGACATTTGGGGTCGTTGCCGCGTCGTCGTCGTAGTCGTTGTCGTTGCCGCGTCGTCGTCGCTCCGTGTCGCCTTGCTCCTGACCCCTAGAGGCTCAGCGCCCGTCCTCACCTCTACAGCCATCCTCACCCAGCCACATCGGTAGCCACATCGGTAGCCACATCAGAAACGGTAGCCACAAGCGGCAGCCACAAACGGTAGCCACAAAAAGCTATCCAGTCGCTGCGTCGTCGTCGCCCGGCTCACACCGCCAGCGCTGGTCGTCGCTGCGTCGTCGTCATCCCTCTCCGCCTCTATCCTCACCGCTATCCTCATCGCCCGGCTCACACCACCAGCGCCGGTCGTCGTGCCCTCGTCGTCATCCCTCCCCGCCTTTATCCTCACCGCTATCCTCACCCATCCTCTTGGATCAGGAGTGAAGAAGAGCAGTGAGGCCCGTGAGGCTGCAGCGGCTGTGACGGCATGGGGCGCTGCGGCGACTGTGAGGGGCACCTGGGGGCTGCAGCGACTGCTTGGGCTGCAGGGCGCCCACGAGACTGGGAGGGCCTGGGGACTGTGCCCGCAGAGGCCGCAGCGACTGCGAGGCTGCAGCGATTGTGAGGGCACTTGGGACCTCCAGCGACGGTGAAGGCACCTGGGGGGTGCAGCGACTCGCCCGCGCCGTCGGTCGTGGCTGGCAACATTTGGCTGGCAACATTTGGTGCGGCTCGGTGGCAACAATTCGGTGGCAACAGTTGCGAGGCAACATTTAGCGCGGCTCGGTGGCAACAATTGCGTGGCAACATTTAGCGCGGCTGGGTGGCAACAATTGGGTGGCACATTTAGCGCGGCTCGGTGGCGACAATTCGGTCGCATCAATTGGGTGGCAACAATTGCGTGGCAACATTTAGTGCGGCTCGGTGGCAACTTTGCCTTGGCAACATTTGGTGCGGCTCGGTGGCAACATCTCGGCGGCAACGTTTCGGCCGTGTCCTCCTCGTCGCCGCGTCGTCGTCGTTGCCGCGTCGGGTCGCGTCGTCGTCGTCGCTCTGTTGTCGGGTCGTCGTCGTTGTGGTTGCGTCGTCGTCTCATCGCCCTCTATACCGCTATCCTCACCCATCCTCTTGGGTCAGGAGTGAGGGGGAGCAATGAGGCCTGGGCACTGCAGCGAGGCTGGGGGCACGTGGGGGCTGCAGCGGGGGAGAGGCTGTTGTCGTCGCCGCCTCGTCGTCGCCGCGTCGTCATGTCCCGCCTCGGCGCGGCTCGGTAGCGACATTTCGGTGGCGACATTTCGGTGGTGACATTTCGGTCGCGACATTTCGGTGGCAACATTTCGGTGGCACCATTCGGGCGCGGTCGTTGTCACCGCGTGTTCGTCGTCGCCTCGTCGTCGCGTCGTCGTCGCCGCATCGTCGTCGCCGCATCGTCGTCGCTGCGCCTCGTCGTCCCTTCTGGGTTAGGTGAAGTGAAGAGGAGCAATGAGGCCTGTGAGGCTCGGGGGCTGCAGCGACTGTGAAGGCACCTGGGGCATGCAGCGACCGCTGAGCCTGCAGCGACTGTGGGGGGCACCAGGGGGCTGCACCGACTGTGCACCTGGGACCTGCAGCGACCGTGAAGGGCACCTGTGGGGGCTGCGAACTCGCCCGCGCCGTCGCCGCGTCCACGTCGTCGTGTCGCATCGTCGTCGCGTCGCATCGTGGTCGCGTCGTCGTCGCGTCGTCGTCGCGCCGCCCTCACCTCTACCCCGCTATCCTCACCCCATCCTATTGCCGGCACCCAGCAAAGCAGCGAGGGCACCTGTGAGAGGGCACTTGGAGCCTGGTGAGCTTGAGTGGGCAGTGAGGGTGTCTGTGAGGGCACCTGCATGAAGCCTTAATTTGCATCCAGTGAAGGCACGAGGGCAGCCGGGGCTGTGAGGGCACCCATGGACATGCAGCGATTGTGAGGGGGGAGCAGCGACGGTCTGGGGGCAGCTTCGCCGCATCGTCGTACCCCCATCCCCCGCGCGGTCGCCGGCTCGTCGTCGCCGGCTCGTCGCTTACTCGTCGCTTCCCGCGCCGTCGTCCTCACCGGTACATCCTCACATCTATCCTCACCGGTATGCTCACCACTATCCTTACCCGGTCCTCACCGCCGCGCCGTCGTCGTCGTCGTCTCCACGCCGCCGTGTCATCGCCGGAAGCCTCACCGGAATCCTCACTGCTATCCTCACCCCGCGCCGTCATCGCCGCCTCGTCGCCACTAAATCCTCACCGCTATCCTCACCCCGGCGTCGCCGCGTCGTCGCCTCGTTCATGCGGTATCGGCCCACATTGTCCGCTGCGGTACCACCCACTATCCTCACCTCTATCCTCGCCTCTTCTTCGCCTCTTTCCCGCCCCGTCGTTGCCCGTCCTCACCCACTCTCCTCACCCGCTATTCATCCTCTTCATTCAGGAGTGAGGACCCGAATCAGGAAGCGCCTGCAGCGAGGCATCCGTGAGGCAGCCGCTTAGGGCAGGCGCACCCACGCACGCGGCAGGCACCTGCAGCGAGGCTGGGGGCTGCAGAAACTTGTGAGGGCACCTGTGACCTGCAGCGACTGTGAGGGCCTGGAACGGTTGGGGGCTGTGGATTGTCAGGGCACCTGGGACCTGCAGCGGGTGTCTGGAAGGCTGCAGCGAGGGCACTCGGCAGCGAGGGCATTCGGCAGCGAGGGCACCTGTGAGGCACCTGGAGAGACTGGGTCACCGCGTCGTGGTCGTCGCATCATCGTCGCCACGTCGTCGCCGCGTTGTCGTCGCAGCCGTCGCCACGTCGGCGCCGCATCACCTCTATACCTCCATCCTCTGCCTGCGGGCGTCGTCGCCGCGTCTCGTCCTCTCACCCCATCCTCTTGGTCAGGAGTCACAATGAGGGGGGCGGTGAGGGCGCCCGTCAGGACTGCAAAGGGGCCTTTTGTGAACTGAAGGGAGGCAGGGCAGAAGACCGAGGCTGGGCCGGGAGTGCAAGAGGGCAGGCCTGAAGCCAGAAAAATGGGCGCCCAGTTGCGCCGCTCTTCGGTGCAGCCAGGTGCAACCGCGCCCTTGGCCTGGATGGTACTGCAGCGGGCGCATGGAGGCTTCGGCTGGAGGTGACCGGAAGCGGCTGTGCAACCAGGTGCACCCAGGTGTCGCATCGTCATCGCGTCGTCGTGGCCGCGTCGCATCCCGCGTCTCGCTCCCATCGTCGCTTCGTCGTCCCATCGTCGCCTCGTCGTCCCAGCCTCGCCGCGTCGTCGCTCGTCGTCGCCGCGTCGTCTTCGTCGCGTCGTCCCCGCCGCATCGCCGTCGTCGTCAGCCGGTTCACCGCCGCCCCCTCAGTTGCGCCTCGGTGACTGCCGTCAGCTTCCGAGCGGCTCGCCCGTCACCGCTCGCCGTCGTCGCCGCAGCCCATCATCAAGCGTTCACACGAATGCACCGCAACGCCGAGCGGCTCTTCAGCCCTGGTTTGAAGTCTCGCAGCTGCCTGACCTCGCTGTACGCTCAGCGTTTCTCAGGGGGCACAGGCAAAGCGTGCTTGTGCTTTACCAACTTAAGTCTCCATCGGAGTTGTTAGAAAGTTGGAGGTAGAGCTGCACTTCCCCCGCGGAGGGCAGCTCTCCAGGCATGCATTTCACGATGTTATGGTCGCCGCTGTTCACGGTGGTCGCCCTGCGCCTGCACGCCGAGGTGGGCCGGGCTCGGCAAGGAGACTGCAGTGCGCCGGGCTTGGAAGCTTGGAAAGTGCTGGGGCATCTGGGGCTTGGGGACTATGTGGAAGTTGCAAGGCTGCAAGGCCTCCAGCCTCCAAGCTGGGCTTGGAGGCTGCACCGTCCCATCGTCGTCAGTCGGCGCACCCAGCTGCAATCAAGTGCATTCAGGTGCACACCGCCGCTCCCTCCCTTGTGCCGCGCCGGCCCCGCCGCCCCTCCTGCCCCGTCGTCGTCGCCGCGTCGTTGTCGCGTCGTGCTCTACCTCTATCCTCACTCTCACTGCCACGTCCGCCGCGCTGCTTTACTTCTACGCCTACCACGTGAAGGCACCAAGCTCCTACGTCCCCGCGTCGTCGTCGCTGCGTCGCCACATCGTCGTCGTCGTCGGCGGCGTCGTTGCGTCGTCGTCGAGTTGTCGCCGCGCCGTCCTTCTTGCCATGTTCTTGCGTCGTCGTCGCATCGTCGGCGTCGTCGTCGTCATCGCCGCGTCGTCCCCCTTCGTTGCCGTCGCCGGGTCGTCATCGCCTCGTTGTCGCCGGGTCGTCGTCGCCGCGCCGCATGAAAAAAAAACGTTCCTGGCCTCTTTTTTGGGCCCTTGCAAAGGAGGCATGCAGCACCTGTGAGCTGCGAGGGCACCTAGTGAGGGGCAGCTGGTCAAAGGAGCGGGCACAGGCACCGGTGCCAGAAGCACCGGGCAAGGGCACCTGGTCAGGCACCTGGTGAGGGCACTTGGGTCAGGGCACCTAGTGAGGGCGGGGCTGCAGCGAGGGCGCCCTACCCACAACTCTTTTCATAAGGTTCTCATCAGCCCAGTTCTCCAACCCAGTTAAGGTGCCATGTGATGAGGTGACCTGCCACCGCGTCGTCGCCGCGCTGCCTTTATCACCTTTATCCCACAAGGCACCAAGCGCCCACGTCCCCGCGTCGTCGCCGCCGCTCCTTCTGCCTCTGCCTCTACCCTACCTCGCCGCTGCGTCGCCGCGTCGTCGTCGCTTCGTCGTCGTCGTCGTCACTGCACCGTTGTGGTCGCGTCGCCGCCGCACATCGTTGTCGCCGTGTGCAACATTTGGGGTGACGCGGCTCTGGGGTAACATGTGGGGCAACATTTGGGGAACGGCACAACAGAGAACAGCGGTATCCACACAGGTATCCACGCGGGTATCCACGAAGCTTTCCCATCCTCGCCGCTATCCTCACCCCTATCCTAACCGGTATCTTCGCTGCTATCCTCACCTGCTTGCCGCCGTGTCGTCGTCGCCCGTGTTCGCTGGTATCCTCACCTCCTCGACGCCGCGTCGTCGTCATCCGTCCTCGCTTCTATCCCACCGGCATCCTCACCGCTATGATTGTCCTCACCGGCGGTATCCTCCCCTCCTCGCCGCCGCGTCGTCGTCATCCGCCCTCGTTTCTATCCTCACCGGTATCCTCACCGCTTTCCTCATCCTCACCGCTATCCTCGCCCGCCTCGCCACCGTCGGGCCGTCGTCGCCGTGGTCGTCGTCGTCGTCGTCGCATCGTCGTCGTCGTCGCATCGTCGCCGTGCTCGCACCGCTGCTCCGCTGCCCCGCGTGCTCCCCCTGCATCGCATCGCACCCTCGCTGGAATCGAGGCCTAGGATCCCCCCACTGCGTCCCACCAACAGTCCGGCATGCATGGCATCTGCGGCAGCCCTCGCCGTGTCGTCGTCGAAGCGTCGTCCCCGCATCGCCGTCGTTTTCGCCGCGTCGTCGTCGTTCCTCGCCGCGTTGCCGTCGTCGTCGCCGCCGTGATGCTGTCGCGCCGTCCGAGTCTGCCGCCGTCGTCGGTCCCATGCAGTGTGGTCGTCACCGTCGCCGTCGTCCGAGCGCCGCGCGACGCCCCGCCGCGTCGTCGCCGCATCGTCGCATCCTCGCCGTCGTCGCCGTCGTCTATATATCCTTATTTTCGTGCTGGTTTCTCACCCACCACGGCCTTTCGAGGCCGCCACCAACACTTACCCGTCGTTGGTCTGCCCTCTCCCTGCCCTCCGCGCCCCTATCTTCCCCCGCCGCCGTCGTCGCTGTCGTCGCCGCTGCTATCACCGCGGCCTGTTCCCGGCCTATTCGCCCGCCGTCGTCATCGTCGCGTCGTCATCGTCGCCATCTGACACACTTGCGACATCTTGGTTCGGGTCTTGTCGTTGCCCCCAATTCCAGCCCTGCAGCCCATCGTCGTCGTCGGTCGTCGTCGCCACCGCCGGCGTGGCCAATCGCCACTAAACCGCTGCCGCAGCTTTTGCCGCAACAGCCTGACCCCCCTGCAGCATGCAGCCCCAGCAGCAGCAGCCGGCAGCACCACCCAACAGCGCCGAGCCCAGCAGCAACAGCAGTGGCACCAACAGCAGTGTGCCAGCAGCAGCGGCCGTAGCAGCGCAGCAGCCAGCAATCAGCAATGTCCTGCAATCAAGCACGCGCGCGAATCTGGAGGCTCGAGATGTCAAGATGGAGGGCCCCAGCGGAAACCTCGGATGCCTTAAGGTCGAATCGCATGGCAAGGACCTCCCAAAAACATACATGGCAGAGCAGGCCAAACAGCTCACGAGGTGCCTCTAACAACTTACACTGCTGGAACAGTGCATGCTTGGGGCGAGGCCCAGGTGCCGTGGAACGACCTGCAGAATTGACGCGAGCAAGAAGGCAACCCTCAAACAAAGGACCCTTGCTCAAACACTGCGCTTTGCCGGAAACTTTTCAACTGCACCCCATCCGCTTGTCAAAGTCTTGGCAGCTAACGTGCAGCAGCTCCCAGTCATGAGAATCTTTGGGCTTCCACTCGCAGGGTTTCTCTCCCTTGCGAAAGTCCCACAAAGCCAACTGCGGCTTGGTTGGCGCAGGGGGCAGCAACTGCGGCCGGTCTTCAAGCGGGCCATGCTTGTGCTCCTTTGCAATGCTGATCTGGATGGCCAACACCTCGGTCTTCCCGCCAAACTTGAACCTGAGAATGCTGTCGAGCACAGCATATTGCGGGCTGTCAGGCGTGAAGTAGCCCACAATGTCATCGACGACTGCGACGGCCTCCTTGTTATAGTCTTCGATACTTTTAGGCTTCTCCTCCAACTTCTTGAACTGTTTGCAATCCACGTCCACCTCCTTGGCGATCTCCTTGCCCGTAAGTGAAAGCTCGACCTTCTGCTCTGTCGCTTCAGCATCCCGCCAAAACAGGTGGACCAAGAGCTCGAAGGCACAGCCGGCGGCGCCTGCGTTCATGCTCGAGAGCTCCTTGTACATGTTCAACACCTCCTCAAACTTCGCGTGCTTGTTCTGCTTGATGCACTTGATGACGAAGTCGGAGCGGGGCATCGGCCGTGCTGCGCTGACGCCCTGCGCGAAGCTCTCATCGTTTGCGTTGGAACCTTTTCGGGGAAAGAACGACAGAAGTCCCGTGCGGTGCTTCTTGTCAACATCGTCCAGGCCCAAATCCAGGGCCAGCAACCTTTTCATGTCTGCTTGCTCCAAGCCCCCTACGGCTGCTCGAATGACCCCCTCTTCATCGCCAGGCTTGAAGAGAAACCGCACGGATCCACCACAAACTGCATACGCCTGCGCAGGCGGAGCGCCAGCGTCACCCAACTTCTCACGAAGCTCCTCCACCTCGTCTTTTGTCCAGCTCCAAAGAACCAGCTTGCACGGCGACAGGTGAAGGGACGGCTTGCCAACGATCTTGGTCTCACCGTGGCCGGACATCAGCCCCATGAACTTCACGTCAGCGAACTCGTTCTCGTTCCGCTCGATCAGCTGCCGGACCCCGGTGAAGATGCGAGTCGCGTCATCAGCGAGGTCCATGCTCACGTCCACGATGCAGACCTGGCACTTCGACTCTGTGCCCGTTCCAGCTCACCTCCTCGTACTGCTTCTTCACCTGGAAGTTGGCGATGGCCGTCACGTCTGAGTTCCTGATGGTGAGGTGCAGGGTCTTCTTGCCCACCTTCTGCAGGGTGTAGGCCACCAGCCACCCGCACCACGTCTTGCCGGTGCCGGGGCAGCCGACCAGCGACACCAGGCGAATCTTCTCCGCCTGCAAAGCCTCCACTGCCTTGTTGTGCACGTTGAGGAGATGCTTTCGCAGGAAGAGCGGTCTGTCAGCGGTCGTGTTGGGTGCCACGAAGTCCATGAACTGCTTGACGTCGAGCAGCTCGTCGGCCTTGAACTCCCCAAGCTCGAGGAGCCCGAAATCGCCCAAATCCACCGGCACAGTCGGTCCGGGCAATTCCTCAAGCAGCGAACGTCTACAGCACCAAATCTAGAAGCTACCGCGACCTGAGTCGACCCTCATGCACCAAAACTAGCCCCTCAAGTGCAAGCTGACCTGGCCTGGGCTGGACCCGCCGCGACCTTCTTCTCGGCCGCCTCGACCTCCTCCTTGGCCGCTTTGATCTTCGTCTCGGCCGCCTCGACCTCCTCCTTGGCCGCTTTGATCTTCGTCTCGTCGTTGGCCTCTGCGGCCTTCTGCAATATCCCCACTGCTATCGCCTTCTCCTGCAGCGCCGTCTCCTTCTCCTGCAGCGCCAGTCGCAGCTGTTGCTCCCAAGCACTTTCCTGCCTGGCTGGATTGCGGAATGCAGTTGGGCAGGTCTCAGCTACGATCCCGTCTCAAATCCTGCACAGCATACCCGGCCGTGCCTGTTTAGCAACTTTTGGCGGCGGCTCCTGCACAAGAAAAGGCTTCCGCCAACCAAACTTCCAAGAAACTCGCATTGACGCCCTCCTCCGGCTGCCCAGCGGCGAGGCGCTTCTCTGGCGGCATTGCGAATCTCTCCAGAATTTGAACCAAAGCACTACGCCGCACGGTGGCAACGGAGGTTCTCTCCACCAGCAAGTTGCAATGCAAACCCGCGCAACAACGGCTGCACAACAGGCCTCGTTCAATTGTTGGAGGCCGGACCATAGCCCGCACCTGCCAACAGCATGCTGGCATGCTCATGTTCACAAAACTTGTGCATGCTAAATGAAAGCCAGCCTCGACCAAAAGGGGAACCAAGCCAGCTGCCAACTCATCGACTTGCACACCTAGGCCATAAGACCATGCCAGCAATACTGAACCACATTCAGCTTCGCTTGGTCTCCAGCTTCCTTCCATTGGTCTTGAGCGAGCCCCTGCTGCTCCAGCACAAGTTGCAGCTGCCGCTTTGCAGTATTAACCTGCCAGGCCGGATCACAACACAGAGTGGAGCACGTCTGAGCTAAGAGCCGATCTCAAATCGCGCCTCATCTTCGGATCTAGCAGCTTTTGGTCCTCGCTCCTGCACAATACAAAAGCTTCCGGCAACCAAACTTCCAAACAACTCGCGTTGACGCCGTCCTCCGGCGGCTCAGCGGCGCGACGCTTCTCTGACATCATTTCGAATTTGAACTCAAGCACTGCGCCGCACGGAGGCAACGTAGGTTCTCTCCATCAGCAAGTTGCAATGCAAACCCGCGCGAACAACAATTGCACAACAGGCCTCCTCCACTCGTTGGAGGCTGGACCATAACCCGCACCTTCCAGCAGCATGCTGGCATGCTCATGTTGAAAAATCGGGGGAATGATACAGGAAAGCCCGCCTCTTCCAAAAGGGGAGCCAAGCCAGCCGCCAACTCATCGACTTGCACACCTGGACCGAGGCCCTGGCCGCCAAAACCTCGCGATCTTCAAACGGTCCTGCGCGATCTCGAGCAGGTCCAGTCGCAGCTGACGATCCCACAAATTGTCCTGCCAGGCTGGATCACGAAACAGTGGAGCACTCTGAGCTACGAGTCCTCCGTCGATGGAGCGGCGGGACGCTTGGCGGGGCACTTGCTTGGCGGCTTTGTAAAGATCTCCAGACTTTCAACTAAAGCACCGTGCAGCAAGGTGGCAGCGCTCAACCCGCAAGTCGCAGCTGCACAACCTGCCTCATCCACTTGTCGGGGTCATGGCCCGCAACTGCCGATAGATGAAGGAAAGCCCGCCTCGTCACCCCGCATAAGGGAAGAAAACGAAGTCCAAACAAATCATGGCCAAAATGCGCGCAAACGTATCCATACTTAGCAAATTTCAGGATTCCTATCTTCCATACACATTGTCGGGTATCCTTGTCGGTAACATATTTTAGTACTGGTGAGGCTTGCCTTCTGCTTTCTACTGATTTTCACGCCTGATTTGAGGTCAGCTCCAACATCTCTGGCCAGCGCAAAAGATAAAAGCCACGAAATATTGAAACAAAAACCATGTCCAAGTCGTGGGCACCGCTTTGCTGATTGCTGGCTGCTGCGCTGCTACGGCCGCTGCTGCTGGCACACTGCTGTTGGTGCCACTGCTGTTGCTGCTGGGCTCGGCGCTGTTGGGTGGTGCTGCCGGCTGCTGCTGCTGGGGCTGCATGCTGCAGGGGGGTCAGGCTGTTGCGGCAAAAGCTGCGGCAGCGGTTTAGTGGCGATTGGCCACGCCGGCGGTGGCGACGACGACCGACGACGACGATGGGCTGCAGGGCTGGAATTGGGGGCAACGACAAGACCCGAACCAAGATGTCGCAAGTGTGTCAGATGGCGACGATGACGACGCGACGATGACGACGGCGGGCGAATAGGCCGGGAACAGGCCGCGGTGATAGCAGCGGCGACGACAGCGACGACGGCGGCGGGGGAAGATAGGGGCGCGGAGGGCAGGGAGAGGGCAGACCAACGACGGGTAAGGGTTGGTGGCGGCCTCGAAAGGCCGTGGTGGGTGAGAAACCAGCACGAAAATAAGGATATATAGACGACGGCGACGACGACGAGGATGCGACGATGCGGCGACGACGCGGCGGGGCGTCGCGCGGCGCTCGGACGACGGCGACGGTGACGACCACACTGCATGGGACCGACGACGGCGGCAGACTCGGACGGCGCGACAGCATCACGGCGGCGACGACGACGGCAACGCGGCGAGGAACGACGACGACGCGGCGAAAACGACGGCGATGCGGGGACGACGCTTCGACGACGACACGGCGAGGGCTGCCGCAGATGCCATGCATGCCGGACTGTTGGTGGGACGCAGTGGGGGGATCCTAGGCCTCGATTCCAGCGACGGTGCGATGCCGTGCAGGGGGAGCACGCGGGGCAGCGGAGCAGCGGTGCGAGCACGGCGACGATGCGACGACGACGACGATGCGACGACGACGACGACGACCACGGCGACGACGGCCCGACGGTGGCGAGGCGGGCGAGGATAGCGGTGAGGATGAGGAAAGCGGTGAGGATACCGGTGAGGATAGAAACGAGGGCGGATGACGACGACGCGGCGGCGAGGAGGGGAGGATACCGCCGGTGAGGACAATCATAGCGGTGAGGATGCCGGTGGGATAGAAGCGAGGACGGATGACGACGACGCGGCGTCGAGGAGGTGAGGATACCAGCGAACACGGGCGACGACGACACGGCGGCAAGCAGGTGAGGATAGCAGCGAAGATACCGGTTAGGATAGGGGTGAGGATAGCGGCGAGGATGCGAAAGCTTCGTGGATACCCGCGTGGATACCTGTGTGGATACCGCTGTTCTCTGTTGTGCCGTTCCCCAAATGTTACCCCACATGTTACCCCAGAGCCGCGTCACCCCAAATGTTGCACACGGCGACAACGATGTGCGGCGGCGACGCGACCACAACGGTGCAGTGACGACGACGACGACGAAGCGACGACGACGCGGCGACGCAGCGGCGAGGTAGGGTAGAGGCAGAGGCAGAAGGAGCGGCGGCGACGACGCGGGGACGTGGGCGCTTGGTGCCTTGTGGGATAAAGGTGATAAAGGCAGCGCGGCGACGACGCGGTGGCAGGTCACCTCATCACATGGCACCTTAACTGGGTTGGAGAACTGGGCTGATGAGAACCTTATGAAAAGAGTTGTGGGTAGGGCGCCCTCGCTGCAGCCCCGCCCTCACTAGGTGCCCTGACCCAAGTGCCCTCACCAGGTGCCTGACCAGGTGCCCTTGCCCGGTGCTTCTGGCACCGGTGCCTGTGCCCGCTCCTTTGACCAGCTGCCCCTCACTAGGTGCCCTCGCAGCTCACAGGTGCTGCATGCCTCCTTTGCAAGGGCCCAAAAAAGAGGCCAGGAACGTTTTTTTTTCATGCGGCGCGGCGACGACGACCCGGCGACAACGAGGCGATGACGACCCGGCGACGGCAACGAAGGGGGACGACGCGGCGATGACGACGACGACGCCGACGATGCGACGACGACGCAAGAACATGGCAAGAAGGACGGCGCGGCGACAACTCGACGACGACGCAACGACGCCGCCGACGACGACGACGATGTGGCGACGCAGCGACGACGACGCGGGGACGTAGGAGCTTGGTGCCTTCACGTGGTAGGCGTAGAAGTAAAGCAGCGCGGCGGACGTGGCAGTGAGAGTGAGGATAGAGGTAGAGCACGACGCGACAACGACGCGGCGACGACGACGGGGCAGGAGGGGCGGCGGGGCCGGCGCGGCACAAGGGAGGGAGCGGCGGTGTGCACCTGAATGCACTTGATTGCAGCTGGGTGCGCCGACTGACGACGATGGGACGGTGCAGCCTCCAAGCCCAGCTTGGAGGCTGGAGGCCTTGCAGCCTTGCAACTTCCACATAGTCCCCAAGCCCCAGATGCCCCAGCACTTTCCAAGCTTCCAAGCCCGGCGCACTGCAGTCTCCTTGCCGAGCCCGGCCCACCTCGGCGTGCAGGCGCAGGGCGACCACCGTGAACAGCGGCGACCATAACATCGTGAAATGCATGCCTGGAGAGCTGCCCTCCGCGGGGGAAGTGCAGCTCTACCTCCAACCTTCTAACAACTCCGATGGAGACTTTGGTAAAGCACAAGCACGCTTTGCCTGTGCCCCCTGAGAAACGCTGAGCGTACAGCGAGGTCAGGCAGCTGCGAGACTTCAAACCAGGGCTGAAGAGCCGCTCGGCGTTGCGGTGCATTCGTGTGAACGCTTGATGATGGGCTGCGGCGACGACGGCGAGCGGTGACGGGCGAGCCGCTCGGAAGCTGACGGCAGTCACCGAGGGGCAACTGAGGGGGCGGCGGTGAACCGGCTGACGACGACGGCGATGCGGCGGGGACGACGCGACGAAGACGACGCGGCGACGACGAGCGACGACGCGGCGAGGCTGGGACGACGAGGCGACGATGGGACGACGAAGCGACGATGGGAGCGAGACGCGGGATGCGACGCGGCCACGACGACGCGATGACGATGCGACACCTGGGTGCACCTGGTTGCACAGCCGCTTCCGGTCACCTCCAGCCGAAGCCTCCATGCGCCCGCAGCAGTACCATCCAGGCCAAGGGCGCGGTTGCACCTGGCTGCACCGAAGAGCGGCGCAACTGGGCGCCCATTTTTCTGGCTTCAGGCCTGCCCTCTTGCACTCCCGGCCCAGCCTCGGTCTTCTGCCCTGCCTCCCTTCAGTTCACAAAAGGCCCCTTTGCAGTCCTGACGGGCGCCCTCACCGCCCCCCTCATTGTGACTCCTGACCAAGAGGATGGGGTGAGAGGACGAGACGCGGCGACGACGCCCGCAGGCAGAGGATGGAGGTATAGAGGTGATGCGGCGCCGACGTGGCGACGGCTGCGACGACAACGCGGCGACGACGTGGCGACGATGATGCGACGACCACGACGCGGTGACCCAGTCTCTCCAGGTGCCTCACAGGTGCCCTCGCTGCCGAATGCCCTCGCTGCCGAGTGCCCTCGCTGCAGCCTTCCAGACACCTTCACAGTCGCTGCAGGTCCCAGGTGCCCTGACAATCCACAGCCCCCAACCGTTCCAGGCCCTCACAGTCGCTGCAGGTCACAGGTGCCCTCACAAGTTTCTGCAGCCCCCAGCCTCGCTGCAGGTGCCTGCCGCGTGCGTGGGTGCGCCTGCCCTAAGCGGCTGCCTCACGGATGCCTCGCTGCAGGCGCTTCCTGATTCGGGTCCTCACTCCTGAATGAAGAGGATGAATAGCGGGTGAGGAGAGTGGGTGAGGACGGGCAACGACGGGGCGGGAAAGAGGCGAGGAAGAGGCGAGGATAGAGGTGAGGATAGTGGGTGGTACCGCAGCGGACAATGTGGGCCGATACCGCATGAACGAGGCGACGACGCGGCGACGCCGGGGTGAGGATAGCGGTGAGGATTTAGTGGCGACGAGGCGGCGATGACGGCGCGGGGTGAGGATAGCAGTGAGGATTCCGGTGAGGCTTCCGGCGATGACACGGCGGCGTGGAGACGACGACGACGACGGCGCGGCGGTGAGGACCGGGTAAGGATAGTGGTGTGAGCATACCGGTGAGGATAGATGTGAGGATGTACCGGTGAGGACGACGGCGCGGGAAGCGACGAGTAAGCGACGAGCCGGCGACGACGAGCCGGCGACCGCGCGGGGGATGGGGGTACGACGATGCGGCGAAGCTGCCCCCAGACCGTCGCTGCTCCCCCCTCACAATCGCTGCATGTCCATGGGTGCCCTCACAGCCCCGGCTGCCCTCGCGCCTTCACTGGATGCAAATTAAGGTTTCATGCAGGTGCCCTCACAGACACCCTCACTGCCCACTCAAGCTCACCAGGCTCCAAGTGCCCTCTCACAGGTGCCCTCGCTGCTTTGCTGGGTGCCGTCATTGCCCTCACAGAGCCCAGGCATGCGCAGCCGCCCTCCCTCGCTGCACCCTTCCGCGGGTCCTAGCTCCTGACCCAAGAGGATGGGGTGAGGATAGCGGGGTAGAGGTGAGGGCGGCGCGACGACGACGCGACGACGACGCGACCACGATGCGACGCGACGACGATGCGACACGACGACGTGGACGCGGCGACGGCGCGGGCGAGTTCGCAGCCCCCACAGGTGCCCTTCACGGTCGCTGCAGGTCCCAGGTGCACAGTCGGTGCAGCCCCCTGGTGCCCCCCACAGTCGCTGCAGGCTCAGCGGT